GACAGCATCCTGTTCACTAAGTTGTAAAACATGATTAGGATCGGTCCCAGAATTTGGTAATTTACTCAGGCCTTCGGAAGAGCTTGTACACCATTTTCTTAACAGTAGACAACGAGACGCCAACGTGTCTGAAACATCTTTGTATAGCTGGAAACATTCGTCTGAAGATTCAGCACAAGTAAGTAAATCGTCTACATAGAAATCATCTTTAATAGCTGAAAAAGCTATCTCCACCAGGATACGGGTCGCTAAATAGGAAGCTGATTTTGTAATGTACGTGATTGTGCGAAGGTTATATTCCCTTAACAGTCCAGAGGGACTTGGACGATACCAAATTCGTTGTAATTGACAGTCTTTTGGAGTTACTAGTATTTGACGGTACATCTTCTCAACGTCTGCAGTTAATGCTATCTTATGTACTCTAAATCGTAACAGTTTAACCATAGGTTCTTTTAACATGACATCATTAAGGGATAGCCCAGAAATTGTTGGAGCTGATCCATCGAACACAACTCTTAATTTTGTGGTGATGCTGTCTCTCTTGATGACAGCATGGTGAGGCAAATAATATGTTTGACTATTTGAATCATCATTAGTTACCAGTTCCATGTGATTCATGTTTAAGTACTCTGACATAAACTTGTGATAGGCTATGCATAGTTCCCTGTATTTAGATAACCGTTTTTCCAAGTTAAAGAATCGTTGTTGCGCCATGTGTTTAGATTCACCGAGCGAACTGAGTTTAGTATTTAACGGAAGGCTAACAACTAATCGCCCTGAATCACCTCTGTCTTCTTAAAATGGTGTTCAGCTATATCTTCTTCATCTTCACGAACACTTGATTTACTGATAAATAGTGAAAGCGCTGAATTTATTGTTGCATCATTAGCACCAGCACAAGCAGAAAACATAGACTGTATAACTTCACTATTTAATACCCTTTAAGTAAGAACCAATTTAAGTGTGGTTTTGTGAATCACTAAACTATTTGTAATGGCAACATTTCTCCACTGAAAAGTGTGTAAAACATTTCTGCGCCAAGTATTATATCTACCTTGCCTAGTGTATCATAGCTTGGATCAGCCAATTGTTCATTAACAATATCCAGAATCTTTGACTGATCTAAACGTATTGATCGAGATGGCATATCATTGGCAATTGAAGGAAGTACATGAAGATCTAGTGAAACGTTGACATGTTCAAACCTAGAATACATAAAAACTGGTTGCAATTTCTGTGCATCTGACCTCATTGAGTTGATACCAACTAGTGGTAGAAAACATTTTGTTTTAGACAATCCAAGAAATTGGGCACAGGCATCAGTTATAAAATTAACCTGTGATCCTGAGTCCAGTAGTGCTCTACAGGGCTGAGGATATCCAGCTGCATCATTAATGTACACAACGGCTGTGGCCAACATGACCATGTCACCTGACGCATGCATTGACTGTGCTATTCCCTTACTAAAACATGGAACACTTGTGCTTGCAATGGGCAAATGGGCAAATGGGCAAATCCGTTTCACTTCTTTTTTGTTGGTTTTCATGAACTTGATCCAAATGCAATTTTGACCGCATTTTGGACAACTTGAGAACCTGCAGTCTTGTGCTTGATGATTAGAGTAAAGACAGTTGAAACATAACCGATTCTTTGAAACAAATTCTTGGCGATCTGGTACTTTCAAATCGTTAAAACCTTTGCATTGATATAACCTACGAGTTTCATTGCAAAAAGGACATTTGTATGGTGTAGTTACCTTGTCTGCAGGTTAAGCACAAAAAAACCTTTTTTCTTGAAATTTATTACTGGACTTGACCACATTCTGTTTAATGCATGATTCACCAATGTTAACTTCACCTGCTTTATAGGCAGCAATACGGTTAAATAAAAATACCTTTATTTCTTTGAACTCTGGTAGGTCTTTCTTGTTATATTGAATGTGCCATTCTCCGACGGTTACTCTATCCATTAGGTTGCATATTAATGTGACCAACCAAGCGTTCCACCCCTCAATCGGTTGACCTAATGCCTGTAATACATTTATATTTGAAGTAATGTGATGATAAAGTCTTTGCAACTCTATTACTGAAGCTATTGAAATTTTGGGAGTGTCAAATAATGCTCTAATATGTGATTGAATAATTGCTTCCTTGTTTTCATACCTTGCTGTTACTGCATCATAGGCCTGCTCATAGTTCTCATAGTTGGTATAGATTTTTGATATTGTCAAAACTATAGAACCACAAATGAAAAATAATAATAATAAATTCTCATTTGTAGTTGGTATAGATTTGACAATATCACTGGCCTGCCCTCCTAAACGAGCCTTAAGAAAATGCAACTTATGAATCGGTGCCATATCTTTGTTGTTGTGGAAGTAAACATTAAAAGAATCTATGAATGATGTCCATTCTTTCCAATCACTGCCCATTTGGCACAACAATGATAATAGTAATAACAATATAAAATATAATTTCAATTGCCTCTTGGGCTATAATACAATGAACAATGGTAAATAATAATATATAATTGAACAAAGGCCTGAATGGCTGTAAGATACAAACAGAATGTAAATAATAAATAATATGCCTTAACGGCTACCAGAACATAATAATACTTTAGGACCCGTAGGTCATACATACACACATATTTGGTCGACCAATACTCACATAACAGTTGAGACACACACCTGGTTTTACACCCACGTTACTGCACCAGGGCCTGTAAGTATGTCAATAAGTTACAATAAAAATCAAATTGACCCTGAGTACGTGCGAATGTGTGCCAGCAACTGTTGACGATGACTTCACTAACAAAAACACACTGAATGCAGCCGGAACAGGATCTCTAGTCTTCGCACTACTGTCCTCACGAGCAACGAGGTACACCAAAACACGTTGAATCACAACACAAATTTCTGGTAATTTTGACCACCCTATACTGGGAACAACAAATTAGTGATGGAAATGAACATTTCTGAGAACGATAATTACCAGAAACTTAATCACAAATTCACAACAACTTGGTTTGGGACAACTGCCAACAGCTCATGACAAAAATGATGTAACAACCATGACGTTGCTTGAACTGCTCAGCAGCGAGCACAAAAACCAACGGTCTTTCAGTGTCACCACACTAAAACAATAACCAACGGAAAAACTATGAACTTTATGACACTGAAAGCATGATTACACGAAAAACAACTTAAAGTTTTGAACATAAACAAATATAACGAAAACATTGATAATGATTCCACAGCTGGATGGTCGCCATTGAACTATATGATAACTTGAATGCTCTACAAGCAGTGTTGCCCGAAAGGGAATGTTAGAAAGAGATGGAATATACTAATGGTGTTACTATCTTTGTCTTACACACTGCGCTAATATCTTAAATTAAATTTCCGCGATATTATTTAAGACTTTAGTTTGGTTTTTAAAACTTGGCATCTCATTATTTTTTAATTTCCACAAATTATTTATGATTAAATTAATAGAATATAAATAATTTAACGATAAGTAAATGGTTTATTAGTAGATAATTATAATTTATAATACCTATAATAAGTATTGAAATATGCTTTTCTTGTGGACTCCTACATTTGTTATATAAATGTGAAGGAAGTTGAGAGGATTTGTATGTTGGTTATAAAATAACAAGTTGTAAATTTAAAGTTAGAAGGTTTTAATTCATAATTATAAGCATATAAAATAACAAAAAATTGATTTTTATTGACAATTTTTGGTATTTATAATATTATTCATAATTGAAAGAAAAGTTACTTACCCAACTTACCTGATGCTGTACCTACAACTTACCTCAATTATTTTTGTTACTACTTTCCTAACTTAAGTTAATATTGTAAATTTATAATCTAGCTACAATTACTACTACTACTAAAATCTTCAATAGATTTTTGTTATACTTCTTGTCCAAAATGTCCTAAAGTAAATAATCATTTAAAGATACTATAACTTATAAGAAATTGTAGATACTTCAACTATAGTCATAACCTTGAAGTTATATAATCTGTTAAGCTAACTTAGTAATTTATGTTGAGTTGACTTCAGCTAGATATTTTTCCTGTAATGACAATAAAACTATAAATGAATAAAAATGTTTTATTTTAAATAAACTAGCAAAATATTCAACTGTATAAGAAATAATAATAATAATAATAATAAGAGTATAAAATAAGCAGTAGTGTTAAAATAAAAGCATACAATGAAAATAATTATTAATTATAAAATAAATCAAGCTCAATTCAAATTTAAATATATTTAACATGAACAATTTCCAATGACAAAAGCGCTGAAGTCATATACATAGTATTATATACAAATAAAAAATATTTAAAAATTATAAAAGTTTAATTGTGACTCAGATTAAACATGGTTAAATAAAATAAGTTTGTTTAATTTATGCCTAAGGGATGACTTTGAACCTTGATTTTGCTGTGTCAATTGCTTACACTGAGTATGCACTCTTAAAGTGCAATAATATGAAGATATAAATTTTACAATTTTCATTTCATGTAATTCTAAATTGCATGTATCAATAACTGGATGTGTAGGATATACATTTTTTACTCGATCCAAAAATTGTCTTTGAACTTTTATCATAACATCTTTATATTCTAGTATATTTTATATTATAGATAATTTTTAACCACCACGACCAAAAAAAAAAATTACACAACCAGTGACGTGTTGATTAATGTTAAACTGAAAGTGTTCATATATTTAACTATGAAAATGTTAACCCCTGAACAATTCATATCACTTATATTTATATTGTATGCAATTTAACTTTTGAAAATTGACAGTTATTAAAATTGTTAAGGATTAAGCCAATCAATAAAGTTATATTTATCAAATTATATTTAAATAACAATATTAGAATTCTTATAAGTACATTAATAATATTATATTTTTTTTTTAATTGTGTATCTCTTTTTTTTAATTAATGAATTACAGTTTGTTGATAAAGCATAATTAAATTTAAATATGCATACATAAATTGCTCGTTACCAATACAAATAATATTGTTGACTTGATAATATTACATTTTGAACACACTTTGGTGTTTGGCTCCTATGAAAATAAAATCAAGTATTAAAAGAATTGCAAAAATATTTATATCATGAATAAATAATTAAATAATATATTGAGATTTAATTAGTAACAAATATATTACCTCCGGATGACTATTATAACATCCTCCCAGTTTGCGTCTATAAAAAGAGTTGAGATTCAGTTTGTTGCAACTATGATCTGTGATTATACCTGATGTGTTTTTATACTCCACTTTAACTGGATTTACACTCAAATGACTTTGACTGCTTTCTGCATTTTTTACAACAACGAGAAGTAAATTTGAATGGGCTATACGTTTTACAAAAAACGGCCTAAAAAAATGTTCAGATTTACATTAAAGTACTACTTATTACTAAAATTAGCCCCTCCCCCATAATTTCTGCTATGTTGTAACTGAAATAGTCACAGTATATGATCGTAAGTTTGATTTCAATGTTATTATACATTCATACCATTGCAGTTTTCTGAACCTAACCATATAGTTGATCCAGCTGGCGGTGGAGCATCAAATCCTTCGGCGCTAAGGTGTTTATGTTGCAGCATAAACAAATCGGCTTTCTTATCGCAGGGTTTACTGATAATTTTAAATTTTTCCGTGTTTTTATTGGGCGCCACATCATCACCATACCCTAATGATGATAAATACAAGATGAGTTAAAACGTTTCACATTATTTGCAACTCTAGTGATTACCTTCATTAATTGACCATACATGGACTATGTTGCCTTCTACTAATAACCACAGTAAATTCATCAAGAACATTTTTAGGCTCGCATACACTATATAAAATGGCTATAAAAATAATATTAGATATTTAAATTATTTAAAGATGTCTATTCTTAAATCTCAATAATATTTTAAATTCTGAGTGAAACGATGAATGTATTGATTTTACAATGATGTGTGTGTTTTTTTTTTAATTTTTTTAATTTTTTTTTTTTTTTTTGTGTCTGTGTACACGATAAGTAGTCCAAATAATGCTTCGATTTTCGACTTCAGTATCTCATTCGGATGGAAAGTGAATATCGTTGGTGCATTGGGGAGGTCGAAATTTAAAATTCCCAGTACTTTTCAAAAGCGCCAAGAAAAATTAAGGAAAAACGGGAATTTTTACGCAAAATCGATTTTTCTGAAAATTGAATTTGGTTTTTGGTGTAACTTTAAAACAAATGACCGTAGATACATGAAATTTTCACTGGTTGTTTATATTTGCATTTTCTATACACGATAACATTTTCAAAATATTTTGAACTGTTTATAGGGACATTTTCATTTTTCATTTTTTTTTAGTTTTTTTTCTAGAAATATCAATACAATTTTATTTGTTGGTTAAAAAACCTTGAAAATTTAATAGAAGGCTCCTAGTATACTGTTTCAAAGGCAGATGAAAAATATTAAAAATCGTTAGTCACGGTTTTTTTTTATAAGCATGTAAAGTTCAAAAATCGACAAAATATGGAAAAATCACGAAAATTAGCAAATTATTTTGAGTTAAGAATTCGTAAAAATTTTTCTTTTTAAATCTAAGATTTGAAAATGTAATACAAGATTACTCATAAGTTTGTCTACCTTTATCAATAAAAAAATCTACCGGACAGTCAAATTAAATTTTTATGAGCGTTTGAAATTCAAATTTTTACAACATTGGATGTTCACTCGACTTCTCATGTAGCGATTTCCTTATTTTGTTGTAATTCAAAAACGAACAACTGTAGATACGTGAAAATTTCACTGTATGTTTATTTTATCAATTCTTATACTTGACAACATTTTCAAAATATTTTTACTTGTTTTGAGCTGTTTACGGATAATTTCATATTTGAATTTATTTTTTTTTTTTTTTACTAAGAATATCAATAAAGTGTTATCTGTTTAGCCAAAAAGCGTAAAAATTTAATACAAGGCTCCTGATCAGTGGCGTATTTAGGGAGGGGCCTATAGGGGCCCGGGCCCCCCCTTGGCCCGTGTAGTACATATTATAATAGTATAACACAATACTTAAAACACAGTTTTCATCAAATATAAATTTTAAAACTTATAGAAAACCTTGTATTAAATTTTCAATTCTAAGCTATGAATACTAAAAATGTAGGTTTACTTAGTATTGTAATGTAATACGCTTTTGTTTTTATTATTTTAGAAATTAGGACATTTGTATGATATTGCCAATTTTGTGGTCAAACACACTTTACAGTCTTCTGAAATATTTAATTGTTTGAAATTGACTTGGATACCCGATCCAAAGTATGATTTTCCTATACGTGCAGAAGGCAAACATAATGGAAAATTTTAATATAAGTATTTAGAAATTTTAGAAATATTTCCATGGTTAGCTTATAGTGAGATTAATAAAGGAGCCTATTGCAAATGGTGTGTTGTATTTGCTTTTTCAGGCGGCGGATCAGGCAACCAGGTATATTACACAGAAAAAAAAACTATTTCCCTTGATTATTTATAAATATAATAATTTTATAATTATTTCTTGTAGTCGTTAAAGAATCTAGTAAAATCTAGTATAATCTAGTATAAAAATCTCCGAAAGGAGAATGCAACTACAAAACTGGTCAAAATAATAGACATTACTTAAATTGTACATGCTTTAATATAAGTACTTTAATTGTCTTAATCTTAATTAAATATAAAATATAATATACCAAAATGTATGATTTTTGTGTTATATCTGGTGGGCCCCTCCCTTGAGAGATTTCTGGCTACGCCAAAGCTCCTGATATATTGTTACAAAATTAGTTGAAAAATATTAAAAATACGTTTGCACAATTTTTTTTATAAGCATTTAAAGATCGAATTTTGACGAAATTTATTAAATTTTAAAATAGAATAATTATTTTGTAGTTAAAAATGTATAAAATGTTCAACTTTTATATCTAAGGATTGAAAATTTAAAACAAGATTCCACGTAAGTAGTTAATTCTTTTACCAAAAAATCTAAAAAATACATGACCACAGTTTATTTTTATAGTCATTTTAAGTTCAACTTTGGATAAAATTACATAAAAAAAACCTAGAATAACTATTTTAGTAATTTTGTTGTGATTATATAATATTATTCGTGAGTACTTGTAATTTCTAAAGTACACTATTATATATCTCGGTGCGAGTCATTTGGTCGAAGGCCATTTTTCGAAGGTTTAGTGATCGAAAAAAAGCGATCGAAATGTCATGTATATTTATATATATATATATATATATATGTCACCCTATATATCTATGATAGTATCAGGGTTTTTTGCTGATGAATACAATGGCATTTGAAAAATATTAAAAATCCTTTGTCACAGTTTTTTTTTTAAGCATTTAAAGTTCAAATTTTGACAAAAGGCGTAAAAATCACGAAAATTAGCAAATTATTTTAAGTTAAGAATTGGTAAAAATTTTTCTTTTTAATTCTAAGATTTTGAAATGTAATACAAGATTCCTTATAAGATTATCTACCTCTATAAAAAAAAAATGTCTATAAGAAAGTTAAATTAAATTTTTAAAAGCGTTTGAAATTCAAATTTTTACAACATTGGATGTTCAACTTTGGATAAAATTACATAAAAAAAAAACCTAGAATAACTATTTTAGTAATTTTGTTGTGATTATATAATATTATTCGTGAGTAATTGTAATTTCTAAAGTACACTATTATATATCTCGGTGCGAGTCATTTGGTCGAAGGCCATTTTTCGAAGGTTTAGTGATCGAAAAAAAGCGATCGAAATGTCATGTATATTTATATATATATATATATATATATATGTCACCCTATATATCTATGATAGTATCAGGGTTTTTTGCTGATGAATACAATGGCATTTGAAAAATATTAAAAATCCTTTGTCACAGTTTTTTTTTTAAGCATTTAAAGTTCAAATTTTGACAAAAGGCGTAAAAATCACGAAAATTAGCAAATTATTTTAAGTTAAGAATTGGTAAAAATTTTTCTTTTTAATTCTAAGATTTTGAAATGTAATACAAGATTCCTTATAAGATTATCTACCTCTATAAAAAAAAAATGTCTATAAGAAAGTTAAATTAAATTTTTAAAAGCGTTTGAAATTCAAATTTTTACAACATTGGATGTTCAACTTTGGATAAAATTACATAAAAAAAAAACCTAGAATAACTATTTTAGTAATTTTGTTGTGATTATATAATATTATTCGTGAGTAATTGTAATTTCTAAAGTACACTATTATATATCTCGGTGCGAGTCATTTGGTCGAAGGCCATTTTTCGAAGGTTTAGTGATCGAAAAAAAGCGATCGAAATGTCATGTATATTTATATATATATATATATATATATATGTCACCCTATATATCTATGATAGTATCAGGGTTTTTTGCTGATGAATACAATGGCATTTGAAAAATATTAAAAATCCTTTGTCACAGTTTTTTTTTTAAGCATTTAAAGTTCAAATTTTGACAAAAGGCGTAAAAATCACGAAAATTAGCAAATTATTTTAAGTTAAGAATTGGTAAAAATTTTTCTTTTTAATTCTAAGATTTTGAAATGTAATACAAGATTCCTTATAAGATTATCTACCTCTATAAAAAAAAAATGTCTATAAGAAAGTTAAATTAAATTTTTAAAAGCGTTTGAAATTCAAATTTTTACAACATTGGATGTTCAACTTTGGATAAAATTACATAAAAAAAAACCTAGAATAACTATTTTAGTAATTTTGTTGTGATTATATAATATTATTCGTGAGTAATTGTAATTTCTAAAGTACACTATTATATATCTCGGTGCGAGTCATTTGGTCGAAGGCCATTTTTCGAAGGTTTAGTGATCGAAAAAAAGCGATCGAAATGTCATGTATATATATATATATGTCACCCTATATATCTATGATAGTATCAGGGTTTTTTGCTGATGTATAACGCGTTATATATGTACCTAATAGATATTGTGATATAATTAATTTGGAATTTATTGTAGGTACCTATAATAGGTAAATTTCCCCCCCCCCCCCCCGAAGTACCAACTTAGATTCGCTTTCCTATCAAAAAAGATTTTTTATGAATTTGTATCTCGAAATAATTTGCAAATTTTCTTAATTTATACGTATTTTGTAAATATTTGAACTTTAAATACTTATAACAAAAAACTGTGACTCTGGATTTTTAATTTTTTTTTTTCAAATGTCAGTGTAACAATATATTAAGTGCCTTGAATTAAATTTTTAAGTATTTTTACTTAACAAATAAAGTTTCATTGACATTCATAGAAAAAAAAATTAATACAATTTGAAACGGAAAATGTGCCTAAACAGTTCAAAACATATCAAAATATTTTGAAAATGTTATCATGTATAGAAAAGGGTAATATAAACAACCAGTGAAAATTTCATGTATAAACATTCATTTGTTTTACAGTTACACCAAAAACCAAAATCGACTTTGTGGAAAACCGATTTTGCGTAAAAATTCCTGTTTTTCCTCAATTTTGATGTTGTTTTTCCCTGTGCGTGGGAAGAAAATCTAAGCACTTTGACTGTCCTAAAAGGTGATGATAGGTGCTTTGTATAGGTGTTTTATTTGTTGGTTAAAAAAGCTTGAAAATTTAATAGAAGGCTCCTAGTATATTTTTTCAAAGGAAAATGAAAAATATTGAAAATCTTTTGTCACAGTTTTTTTTTTATAAACATTTAAAGTTGAAAAACAAGCTGGTAAGTAGATGTCGCTCTGCTTATTAAACTTGAATTCAATGATATTTTATCATTGTATAAGAAAAACGATTCTGAGCGGA